TGACGGCAAGGATTGGAGTAAGGTGCTTAGCGTGGGGCGCCTCGAGGGCAGGGTTATCGCATGCTTTGCGGATGATCATGCGTTGATTATGTATGTGTATGTCCCGCAGTATGATGATACAGGGGCGGAGGATTCGGTTGTTACGGTGAGTTTGCCTACTATTGTTGTTTGGAAGATGAGGGGAGAAGGTAGACTGTGCTAACGCATCGCAGTATTATGTGTCATCGTACAGCTTGTGACGATGTCGAAAATGCTATAGACACATCACAGTTCAGGTCCTCAGAAGGTGTCTGAATATCCCGGGTTGGTGTTTAGGGGTTAACTCGCAGATGACCACTACTAGCTTGATAGATACATTGGCTCTCAGGCTGCCGTGTTGCTGGATATACCACAGATGTGTAGATACTGATAGAATAAGAGACTCAAGTCAAACGTATAGACTGTAGCTTTCGAAAATGAGGATGAGCTTTGAGAAGAACCAGTTTACCCATTTTTCTTATTATACCAGCCGTCTTTAAGTAGCTTGGTTTGCGATTTTGGATCCAATTAGGTAAACATATGATACCTGGACACATCGCAATCTAGCACATATTCGTAGCCTAGGTTGGCGTCGTATAGTTTTCTATTCTACATATATACAATCTAGATTTAAGAATTTAGATCAACACATACACACGGACCATACGGGATTATAGCACGCAAGATCGATCCAGTCCTAACTCTCATAGCCCTCCACGCCTATAGCTTAAGAACAAGCCAGTTCTCCCCTTCCATCTCGTTTATTATCCGCCCCAGAACTCCACGTACGGGTCCCTGCATCTCGGTACCGCTGTACCAGCGTTTTGCACCTGCGTATGCCTCGATGAAGCCGTCCGGTCCAGAGACACATAGGAGATTTGCCCCTACTTGTGCCTCCGTAGACGCACCCTTCTTGTCTCGAGCACAGGCACAAGCCAAGGCGTAACGGTCGGCATCATTATCATCTGGCAGTTTCTCGAGCGCCGCCGCCGAGTGCCAGGGACAAGACTGAGCGGCAGGGAGTAGCGATGCTTTGCGTGCTTCTCCCCCCAGAGCAGCGCTCAGGTCCCGCGGGCTGATAAAACTCCCCTCCTCGTCGACGAAGTAGGAGATCTGGAACCGCCCGGGGTGCTTCTGCTGCATCTCGCGGATCTGCCGCGCGAGCGACGATTCTCCTGCCTGTGCTTGCTCTTCTTTCGCGCTTAGTGCGGGTTCGATCCCCCGCCAGCCCGGAAACCACGATCCCTTCCCAGCACTAGGTCCTCGGGGCTGCTGGCGCCCCAGCGCATCGGCGGCGAGCCGGTTCGCCCATAGGATCGAAATAGTCGGCTTCTCCCTCCGCTCACTTTTCAGCCCACCATCATCATCGTCGTTGTCGTTGTCGTCGTCCTCCAGAAGCCGCCGCGCAACCTGCAACGCAGGCGCGATCCCCGTGCCCCCAGCGACGAACACGACGTTCTCCGCGGCGCCCAGCCGCCTCTCGACGTCGAACCCGAGATGCGGGCCGCGCAGCCACACCTGCTCGCCCACGCGCAGCTTCGAGAGGTACGTCGACATCTCGCCGCCGTCCAGCCTGCGGATCAGGAACCGCAGCTCCTCGTCTTCGTTGGCGTTGGCGTTCTCATTGCTACTGGCTGCTGGTGGTGGTGGTGGAGGCAGCGGCGTATAGTGCCGCGCGATCTGCAGCTGCGGCTGCTTGACCTCGACGGACCAGAGCCCGTGGTCCCACGCTTCTCTAAGCGGACCTCCGGAACGGCCCGCCTGCAGCGCATCGCCGGGTCGGACGCTCAGGACGAAGGCTGTCGGCGAGACTTGCTCCTTCGCGGTGATGGTGAAGGGGCTGAAGGACGTCTTGTTTATGACGGCGCTTTTGGGGTCGTCGTTGCTAGGGCGGGCGCTCTTGAGCACCAAGGCTGTTATGATGACGGCGCTGAGGCCCGCTGCGTTGAAGAGGATCCATGGTTTCCAGGACCCTCGCCTTTGAGAAGAAGGGGGTTGCGGGGGTTGGGGTCGGGGCTGGGGTTCTCCTGTTGGTGTGTTTGGGGTCGAGCTATTGCGTCGTCCTGGTGTACTTGAGAATTGGCGTTGGGAGATGGGGAAACGGGGTCTGGTGGCTAGTTGATAGGATCTAAACTGGGCTGTGTGTGAGCCAGAGAGAAGGCACGGTCTCATCCGGCCGGCCCATTTTATCGCTAAATGATTATTCATTTATATCAACTCATATTGGGGTGAGCGGCGTCTTAATTACGGTCAGGATGCTCACGATAAAGTATCCAGATGAAGAAGGTTTGAATGTTGAGATTTGATGAGTTTGCCAGCTGGCTGGCGGCCATTACTAAGTGGGCCTATCTATCATCTAGTTACCTGGTAATTATAGAGCCGCTTCCAATAGGATGATGGGGGGATTCTACGTATTATAACTAGGGAAAAAAAAGGACGATCGGCTTTCCGTTTCACCTAAGTCATATTCAGAGTTGATGACATAATTCCACCCTCTTCCCTATAATACACTCTATTCCAAGGTCATATCCATAAGTTGAGAGGTCGATTCTGAGTAGTTGTACAAGCCTGCGAGTCTATCGAATGGGAATAGAGTCTTAGTAATTCCGAATACAGCGTCTATAATCTAATGATATCCCCCTTCTGATTTATCCCGCCTCTAAAGTGGTCGGCAATAATGTTACCATTCAAGATAGTCTCCTTGATTACGCCCTCCACATGCTTCGGGTCTATCCTGCCGTACCAGATTCCGTGACCGGCTAGTGGGTGCGGGTTTCCGGCGCTGTCCTTGAGAGATGGTGGTAGATAGACGATGACATTGCCTGCGTACTTGTGTCCGCCAATGTGACTGATCTGGCCCACTCTCGCCGTACGAGGTGATTCCTCTCCCGAAGTAGTACCGGAGAGCTGCGGTGCGTTGGCGCTTTCGTCGAGTGCCGGTCCATGAAGGACATCAAATCCTGATCGAGGTAACTGTCTCTCGAATTCCTCTTGGAGGATGGGTCCGTAGATGCCGCATCTTTTGTCTCGCTGTCCATGTCCGCAGATCAAGACAAGCACGTCTTCAACGTCGCGGACGCCGTACAGCATGTGCTGGTACGCCTCTTTCCGCAGGAGCCGGTCCTTATGTATCGGGGAGAGGCCGTCATTCATGGGGTGAAGCTTCTCCGGTAGCAGGTACCCCTTGACTAGGGCTTGCACGGAGTCGAACGACACTCTTGGGAGGAATGGGACGTATTTGAAGCTTGGTAGGAGGTAGACGGAAGTAGTCTGAACCTCTGGTCGTCTAGAGATCGCGGAAGGGAAGGAAACATTCACAATCGAGACATTGTGAAAAGGCTACAAAAGCACTCATCGTTAGCTAAATTGAACATCCAACGTAACATCCGGGGATCGCACAAAGTATCGATTAACTACCTAGGTAGTCCTATCGGGGAACCAAGCAGTAGAACTCACATCACTATACACGCCTCCTCGACCGATCAATTCCTTGAGATCGGCAGCTAGGTTGTCGCCGCTGTTATCCTCTTCTATGCGCGACGCCCAGTCATTCTTGCCAGTGCAGATCAAGACTTGTTGCGCATACGCCGGCATGAGCCCATTCAAATTGGCATTCTTGTCGATCTTCTGACCCCATGGCATCGACGGCGTGTCCGCGCAATCGCACGTCGGCTCCGGGCATTTCGGGACCGTATTCAGACATCGTCGCGCCGTCGTCACGAGCGGAATTAGATTGGCTCTTCTTCTAAAGGCGGCGCGCCTCCACGCTCCTCTGGCTAACGGTCGCAAAGACATTGAGGTATCAGGACAGGATCATGACCTGTTCGAGAGGGACTGGATTTAATAAAGGCCATGTCAGCTTTGAGTCCTCCGGGTTCCCTTCGCCTCTACTTTTCTAGTAATGCCTTGCCCGTGGTTCGTCCATTACGTCTTTTTTCTTCCCAGTTTCCCCGGTTGTACTGTACCTAGCTCCGAGCGGTCGGAATTCCGAAATGAGGGTCTTATTAGCGCACGTACCAGCATTAGTAATCGCTATCCTTAGTGCTAGTACGTATGGTCCCTGAAAAGAGAAAGCTGCGCTTTCGCATACAAATTCCGCGTAGTGTAGTGCGGATTGATCTAGTAAAATCCGTATGCACTGTATATACCGAAATCCGTTTTACTATGTCCGAGTAGCTGCCGGTAAATGTGTTTCTTGTATCGCATCAAATAACTATTTTGACATTATGGCAGCTGAAGTACGTAGCAGAGATACCGGCTGCCCTACTAACTCCCCATAAGACTGTCTACATTCAAGAAGCCAATAGATTTTTAATCAGTGATCTGGGCGATAAAAATATGTATCAGTGATTATATTCCGCTTTACATCTTAAAGAGAACGCCAGTACCCCTTTTCCTACCTACCATTGTTCATGCCAGAATGTCAAGCCGAATCTACAAACAAGGTCTATCATCCAACATATAGAGGCTCCGCGCCAACTCTATGACGTGCGAATACGTCCCACATTTGTTCTATACCTATGTATAGGTAATTTAAGCACGGATATCTGTGATACACTTTAGGTAATGAAGCCTGTCTTCGGTTTCTTGTAAAACTTGGTTAGGGGAAGCTTGGTTTGAACATAAAGCTCCGGTCAGCCAAACATGGCCATCAAGTACGTCGATTTGTATCATGGATATGAGTACTTCGATTGTCTAACGTATATCTCTTGAAAATGGTAGATATTGGAAAGAAAAAGCAAGACATGAGGACTTATTCCTTTGTGACACCAGATGCTGGAAAGATAGGGGTAGGCAAGCTTACGATGTAGAGTACCTAGGTATATTGGCAACTTCCTAGAACAGATATATCAAATAGCTCTTTCCTGAGAAAAAATATCTGTACATTAGGTACCTGCCATCCTTGCAAACATGCCATTGCACAAGTTTGTCTAAGATATGCTAGTCACAGTGAATTCCTATCATGTAAAATGGCGTAATCAGCTGCACTAGAGAAATGGTAACTCGCCGGCCTCCTACGGAACTTCGTAAGCCGGAGATTCTGGGTTCGAGTCCCAGGTGCAGTGATGTTTTATTTTTCTTTTAGTTTTTAGGAGGTTACTATTCTAGCTGCTTTATAACAAATGGGACGCGAGCTCCCGTAATACTGATATCCTTTTCTGGATCATATTTTTCGAGGCTATCCAAGGGCCCGTATTTCTCACAAAGATATAACATGTCATTATAGGCTCTTCAAGGATCGGTCATCAAGAGAACTTAAAGGAGGGGAAGAGAAAAAAGGAAGAAGGGGGGGTTACTAACATTTTCCTTGAAATACTTCCCGGGTGCCCAGCTGAATCATTTAAATAGGGATGTATGCTGTAGAGACGGTTGCGGTCATCCCATTCCTCGGCCGGTTCTGATGGTTCGATATGACGTTGGTAGAGCTGCATATAGATGGGTAAGTTGAAATATGTCGCCCATGTGCATCTCCAAGTTCCGAACTCCATTTCGTTGTGGGCGTAAACGCATCCGGGGTCGAATACGACCGCTTCGCCTGTTTCCCTATCGATGCCGACGTTTCGCTCCCATAAGTCGCCGTGTATTAAGGATGGAGTAATACTCCGGCCTTCAGATTGCAGGGCCCCCAAGAGCCTCGGAATGACTACGTCGATAAGTTGCTTGCAAGCGGTGTCATACTCTGGCCAAGGGCCATTCGTCTCATTGTCGTATCTTATCACATCATTGAGCAGATTAGTGAAGGATTTAACCCAGCTCTTTTCCCACTACGAGATGAGAATTAGTTACGATGCCCCTGAAGCAAGTAGACCTTTTCACATGCAGTAAAAATGTTGAATGGGGGAGTTGCTTACAGTTACTGTACGTTCCATCTTGCCGCAAGCAGTCGGGACCGGATATCCGAACATGCCATTCGGAGAAGTAACTTGATGAAGTTCTGCTATTTTAGACATAAAACTAACAGGTTCCGGGTTTATAGAATAGTTCATGTCATGGAAATCTCCCAAGAAGAAGTATACTTGCGACTTGCCGTCATGATACTCACCCCATCCAACTGCTTTCGGAACGAGTCCAGCTACAACATCATTAATAATAGCCGCAGAGTGGAATTCACCCTCGACTAATGCACGGGAACTTTTACCTGCCGCGCACTTCATCTTGTCAGATTCAATCAACAAGTCCTTGAATTATAGAGTAGATATCTAAGTTGTGATGTCCTACCTTGAGAAAATATTTCTTCGAACTGCCATCTGGTAGTACGGCTGATACTTTAGCTGTTTTTGTCCACGCCGATATGCCGCTTGACTCAGCAGAAATGATCCTGGAGCCACTAGGCAGAACTGTGATGGTGACCGATTTATGTCTCAGCGAAGTCTATAGGAGCATTCGTGTATGCTGACCTTACTTTTTAGAACTGCCTTGTTGATGGGGAAATTTCCCTGGATTCCTGATACCCGTTCAAATGAATCCGAAGACATAGTTTCGTTGTTGGATAACTGAGAACTGAAATAAGAATCCTGAAGGGTTTAATGAGCAAGCTCAAGGCCTTTCAAGAAACGCAGTATGTTGTAAAGCTTGGTCCCTGGTGTTGTTGGTTGCTTGTAGTGTAGATCTGGGCATGCATGTGCAGGGAATATGGGATTCTGCCCGGGGCGTATTGGTTAGCCTATGTGTGGCTGCCCTACTGCGACCGACCGTAAGCGCTGATCTTTCGAGCGAGTTGGGTACGCCTATCAAAGATTGGCCGCTTAGCGATACGCCGGATAGGACTCGTCACCTCTACTTCAGTTGTTGAGAGCCGTCTAGTAACTTCACCTTTTCTTCATACCTCTCCGTATGTGTAGGTAGGATATCACGATAGCCAGCTGAGCGACATGTCTGTACAAAATGGTCAGTTATTAGTCTTGCTCTTAGGTGTTCTGAGGGTACCTAACTCTTGGCCAGTTTCGCAGACTATCCAGCTTTAGAAGGAAAACTCGCAATGAAGGTCACCAATCGCGGTTTCATCGCGCATTACCTGATTCCCAGACTCCCAACACAAGCCCTTCTCGCATTTCCGACCCAATTCACGAGGATGAGGTCAACTCTACGGCGGATCCTCATTTATCAAGTTCTGCAGCAATTAGCAACGATGTTCAATTCCGAAAGAACAGCGAGGTCGAGGCTGGGCCGCTAGGTCTAACTGTCGTATATACCCCTCCAGACACTCGCAAGGCCGATATCGTCTTCATACATGGACTCGGGGGGACCAGTCGTTGGACATGGTCGAAAAATAAAGATCCGGAGTTATTCTGGCCGTTGAAATTTCTACCCCTTGAACCCGACATTGGCCTGGCTAGAATACTCACATTTGGGTATAATGCAAATTTTCGCAGAGCAGGAAACGTTAGCACATCGGTACTAGACTTTGCAAAAGATCTATTATTCGATATGAAATATGCAAAAGATGATCAGAAGGAAGACTTGAATTTGGGAAGTGTTAGTATGACTCAAACATTATAGCATCTCATGCATCTAAATAATGCATTAGGTTCCACTGATATTCGTTGCCCACAGCATGGGAGGGCTCATAGTTAAAGAGGTACGTCTACCTTAGGTACTTATAAGTAGGTACCTAGGCAAAAACCTGTCTAACCTATGCTTATGATTGAAAGGCATATATGCAAGGTCAGATCGATCCCGAGTACGAATCTATCATCAAGGCTGTCTCTGCAATCATCTTTCTCTCCACGCCACATCGTGGCACGAATCTTGCAGTAACATTGAACCGGATTTTGCAGTCAACCATGATCATCAGTTCCAAGCAGTACATATCTGAGCTTGCGAAGAATTCGCTCACATTACAGAAACTTAACGAGCAATTCCGTCACATCGCGCCTCGGTTAAACATCGTCTCGTTCTATGAAACTCGGCCTACTTCAATCATGCTTAAGAACATTGGGGTTGTAAGTATGCCTAGTAATCACCTAATTGCCTGCTAATGCCTCTATAGATGATACTGGATAAGGACTCTTCCGTACTTGGATATCCTGGGGAAATCTCCAAGGCACTAGATGCAGATCACCATGGGGTTTGCAAATACGAAAGCCCCAGAGATCCCAACTACATTTCTGTGAGAAATGTCCTCATATCCCTCCTCAGAAATACTAGTTCAAAGACCAATCTATGCAAGCCAACTCTGTCAAACCGGAAGGAACCACACCGTCTGAAATCTTTGTTGGCCATTACGGAATCTCCAGCCATCGATTATAGCTTTTTCCGGGACCAATGGGCACGTGGGACTTGCGAATGGGTTCTTCAGGATGAATCTTTTGTCGAATGGCTCCATACACCTGACACGATGTCTTCTCTCTTATGGTTGGCTGGCAAGGCCGCAACCGGGAAGTCTGTATTATCCTCATTCATCATTAACAACCTTGTGGAACGGGGATTTCGTTGCCAGTATTTCTTTATAAGGTTTGGTGATCAAAAGAAGCAGTCCCTGAGTCTTCTGTTACGTTCAATTGCGTACCAAGTAGCCCAAACTATTCCAAGCTTTTTAGAGGAACTACTTGGACTTATCGACGAAGCTATCGATTGTGAAACCGTGAGTGCTCGGACTATTTGGGAACGCATCTTTAAGTCCATCCTTTTTAGTATGGAGGATGGGAAGCCCTTGTACTGGATCATAGATGGATTAGACGAGGCGCATGATCCTCGGGCAACTATGAGGCTACTTTCAGATATATCTTACTCCTCTATTCCACTCCGGATTTTACTCGTAAGCCGCGAGTCCTCGGATATTGGGTCTGCTTTTCAAAAAGTTCCAAGTAGCCTGAACCCAAGGATGATAAGAATCGAGGGCCATCTGGAAGATCTACAGTGCTATGTTCGTCAAGAACTTAGCATGCCTGGCAGCTCTGAGTTCAAGGAAGATATTGTCAGACGAGTCGTGGAAGGGTCGCGGAATAATTTCCTCGTGAGTTATATGAATTCTCGATGCGTCTATCTTCTTGCTCATAGAGATGCTAATTCTGTAGTGGGTTCGACTTGTTGTTGACAAGCTGAATCTGTGTCATAGACTCTCTGATGTTGAGGTCTTACTCCAAGAATTGCCAATTGGTATGGAGGCACTCTATGACCGAATGGCATCGTCGATCGTTCAGAACCGGTCGCCAATGGACAAGGAATTAGCATTACGCATCCTACAATGCGTTACTTGCTCATTGCGTGAATTAGCGGTTATAGAGCTATCGGAAGCCCTGGATGAAGATATGTCTGACTTCTTGGACCTTGGACGGTCGATTGTAGACCTATGTGGCGGTTTCATGGTCATTGATAACGATGGAAATGTTACGATGATACACCACACTGCTCGCGAATACTTACTGACCGGCAATAACCACCCCTTCCATATTGACCCTAGTGACGCCCACGAACGTATGTTCCTGAGCTGCATCAAGTGTCTCACTACAATCGGCCTCCGAGCAAAGGTGAACCGGAATCAAAAGCCTGAGTTTGTCGATTATGCTTCAAGCTGGTGGTCATCGCACTTGGTATTAACGTCGCCCGATCGTGCGGAGATCAGCGAGGTCCTCGAGAAGTTCCTATCTAACCACTGGGTATTAACATGGATACACATTTTAGCTGCTAATAATCAGCAGCGAATACTCATTCAAACTTCAAAAAACCTCTCGGCGTATTGCCTGGAACGACAACGTCATGATGCGGCGTCTAATAAGAACGGCGGACATAGCATGATAGACCTTCTTGAAAGCTGGTCTACGGACTTTGTGAAGTTGGTAGGAAAATTTGGCACGATCCTGCGGCGAAACCCAGAATCGATATACAAATTCATCCCTCCCTTCTGCCCCCAGAACTCTTCAATATATCGACTTTTCGGGAAAGCAGAGGCGAAGGACATTGTAGTTTCAGGCATACCGACTGAGAACTGGGATGACTTGCTGGCGCGCTTATCGCTTAGACGCTATAGTGCGAAGTCAAGTGTTAAAGCATTTGGATCGCTTATTTGTCTTCTGGTGAACCCGGGAAATGTGTTGATTTATGATCCCTCAACGTTTGAGGAAGC